GAGGTGGTTCTTTAACAATACGATACTAATAAGTTAACAAAATTATACAAGAAACTATCATTACCTACAATACTTTGAAATGCGTATGCGAATTAATGTTAAAAAACTTATATTATAAAACTGGCAGCCAACAATAAAACTACTACTGAAACTTATATTACAAAACAGGTAGACAACAATAAAACTACTACTACTATAACTCATATTACAAAACTGGTAGCCAACGATAAAACTACTACTATAACTTACATTACAAAACTGGTAGCCAACAATAAAACTAGTACCAAAACTTATATTATAAAACTGGTAGACAACAATAAAACTGCTATTAAAACTTATATTACAAAACAGGTAGGCAACAATAAAACTACTACTACAACTTATATTAGAAAACAAAATACATAAACTGTAAAAGGATGTTACAAGTACCATAAACATGTACCATTAGGTTGTTGCGCATATATAAATATTTACCGGTGGGCTGTTACGTATATAAGCATCTATTGGCATGTTGTCACATATATAACAGCCCTGTACCAATATTTCAGTTCGATGTCATCCAAGCACGTGCTCGTAGTTTTAATTAAAACACGAGCATAACTCCAAGAGACCATCCAGGACGGAATACTCATAATTTATCCGAAACTTTGAACGTACCTGATATATTCACTTTCTTTTGCTTCCAACTGGTCAGTATACATTCTTAACGTACCTGTTGTATTCACTTTTGTTTACAACTGGTCAATATACATTCATAACATACCTGATGTATTCACTTTGTTTTGTTTCCAACTGGTCAGTATACATTCTTAACTAGACAACGATAAAACTACTACTATAACTTGTATTATAAAACTGGTAGACAACGATAAAACTATTATTATAACTTATATAATAAAACTGGTAGACAACAATAAAACTACTATTATAACTTATATTACAAAACTGGTAGCCATCAATAAAACTAGTACTCTAGTTTTATAATAAAAGTTATAGCAGAAGATTTATCATTGTCTACCAGTTTTGTAATGTAAGTTATAGTAGTAGTTTTATCACTGGTTAGCATATTTGTAGTATAAGTTATAGTAGTAGTTTTATTGTTGTCTACCTGTTTTGTAGTATAAGTTTTAGTAGCAGTTTTATTGTTGGCTACCAGTTTTATAATACAAGTTATAGTAGTAGTTTTATCGTTGTCTACCTGTTTTGTAATGTAAGTTATAGCAGAAGTTTTATCGTTGTCTACCTGTTTTGTAATGTAAGTTATAGCAGAAGATTTATCGTTGGCCAATGATAAATCTTCTGCTATATCTTATATTACAAAACCTAACTGTTTTACACTCACAAAAAAGAAATCTATCTTTCTATAGGTATTTGAAGAACTTGTGGCATTCCACCATAATTTAATTCTTCGTATTGTTAGCCGACACTAGGCAGCTGGTACATAATTGAATTGAGTTGTTTAAACATTATTATTTAAACATGGATTATTTTGTTGTGTTATTGTGTTTAAGGTTGAGAAACTTCACCTCTGTAAATAGTGGATTATTTTGTTGTGTTTTTATGTTTAAAGTTGAGACTCTTCATCACTGTAAATAGAGGATTATTTTGTTGTGTTATTGTGTTTAATGTTCAGTTACTTTATTACGGTAAATAGTGTATTATTTTGTTGTGTAATTGTGTTTAAAGTTGAAAATTTTTCTGACTTTGAATAGTGGATTATTTTGTTGTGTTATTGTGTTTGAGGTTGAGAAACTTCATCAATGTAAATAGTGGATTATTTTGTTGTGTTATTTTTTTAAATCTGAGACTCTTCGTCACTGTAAATAGTGGATTATTTTGTTGTGTTATATGTTTAAAGTTGAGACATTTCATCAATGTAAATAGTGGTTTATTTTGTTGTGTTATTGTGTTTAATGTTCAGTCACTTTATCACGATAAATAATGGATTATTTTGTTGTGTTATTGTGTTTAAAGTTGAAAAACTTCATCACTGTAAATAGTGAATTATTTTGTTGTGTTATTGTGTTTGTGGTTGAGAAACTTCATCTCTGTAAATAATGGATCATTTTGTTGTGTTATTGTGTTTGAGGTTGAGAAACTTCATCATAGAAACTATATCCGTTATCTATTCTATTGTAACATACCAAGTATTATAACATCATGGAAACTATATCCGTTATCTATTGTAACATACCAAGTATTATAACATCATGGAAACTATATCCGTTATCTACTCTATTGTAACATAAGTATTATAACATTATAGAAACTAATATCCGTTATCTATTCTATTGTAACATAAGTATTATAACATTATATAAACTATATCCGTTATCTACCCTATTGTAACATACCAAGTATTATAACATCATAGAAACTATATCCATTATCTACTCTATTGTAACATAAGTATTATAACATCATAGAAACTATATCCGTTATCTATTCTATTGTAACATAAGTATTATAACATTATAGAAACTATATCCGTTATCTACCCTATTGTAACATACCAAGTATTATAACATCATAGAAACTATATCCGTTATCTACCCTATTGTAACATACCAAGTATTATAACATCATGGAAACTATATCCGTTATCTACTCTATTGTAACATAAGTATTATAAAATTATAGAAACTATATCCGTTATCTACCCTATTGTAACATAAGTATTATAACATTATAGAAACTATATCCGTTATCTATTCTATTGTAACATAAGTATTATAACATTATAGAAACTATATCCGTTATCTACCCTATTGTAACATACCAAGTATTATAACATCATGGAAACTATATCCGTTATCTACTCTATTGTAACATAAGTAGATAACGGATATAGTTTCTATGATGTTATAATTTATGTTACAATAGAATCTATTATAACATTATAGAAACTATATCCGTTATCTATTCTATTGTAACATAAGTATTATAACATCATAGAAACTATATCCGTTATCTATTATATGCTAGATTTTCTTAAACAATTCCTTCGCTTTTGAGAATTGGTCACTTTTGCTTTGTTTGCTTTATAAACCCTCACTTTCAAGTCTGGCCGTTGGGAGTATGTAGACTTTATTTTACAAGGTCATCCTCAAATGCTGTGGTGAATTGAAACCGGTAGAATTAGACCAGATACACTAGCGGTCATACATTTACACAGGCTGTACTATTGTCCTGTGGACATCTAGCTGGAACTTGCCACATTTGAAATAAGACGTAAGATTGTACGTATTTCTATAACTTATAACATTAAATTTACATAATGCAGTATGTGTCGTACTTGTTTAGAGTACTAGCTTTTTACGGTAAGGTAAATATTGTGTATTAAGATACAGTACTACATTTCAGTCAAATAACATTGTCAACAAGTTCTACATAGACAAAATATCAAATATGTGCAGGTTTAAAAAAACGCCTAGACAACTTAGTCTTGCGTCTATAAATATTTGATAACAGGGATATGAATGTGAATTTGGGCAGCACAGACAAGAACTAAAATATCGACTTGTAAAGAATGATAAGAAAAGCAATATTAGTTGAGCTGTCGTGATGTGGTGAACAATAGAACTTGTACAGCACTCAGTTTAATTAGTAATGTTTTATATGTAGTCCAAAGACTTTTTACGTTTATAACGAAATCTGACGATCAATTCATGGAAGTGTGACTCGGTTCACGGTGAAACATATTGCTTACAGCGTTTTTGGTTATAAATAGATGCATTTTTGAAGCCATAGTTTAATTGGACTGTCTACTCTTTTAATTAATAGCTTGACATTTTCTAAATAAAACTATAGTTTAATTGAACTGTCCACTCTTTTAATTAGTAGCTTAACATATTCAATAAAACCATAGTTTAATTGAACTGTCCACTCTTTTAATTAGTAGCTTGACATTTTCTAAATAAAACTATAGTTTAATTGAACTGTCCACTCTTTTAATTAGTAGCTTGACATTTTCTAAATAAAACTGTAGTTTAATTGAACTGTCCACTCTTTTAATTAGTAGCTTAACATATTCAATAAAACTATAGTTTAATTGAACCTTCAACTATTTTAATTGGTAGCTTAACATATTCAATAAAACCATAGTTTAATTGAACTGTCCACTCTTTTAATTAGTAGCTTGACATTTTCTAAATAAAACTATAGTTTAATTGAACCTTCAACTACTTTAATTAGTAGCTTAACATATTCAATAAAACTATAGTTTAATTGAACCTTCAACTGGTTATATTTCATTCCCTGGGGAATCTAAACTTCGTCCCCTAGTGGCTCAGTGGTAAATCTTATAACGCTAAAAACCGGGTTTCCATACCGACGGTGGACACAGCACAGATAACCCATTGCGTAGCTTTGCACTGAAAACCAAAGAAACAAGCAAAATTTTAGATTTAACGTACTTTTCAGATTTCGCTCCTAGATTTAAGAGAAACAACTTTAGCTTGAACTGAAATTTGTTTCTGACATAAAGCACTATTTCTCAGGTTACTTACCTAGAATAACAGACCTGGAGCTTACGCAAAGCACTATTTCTCAGGTTTCTCACCTAGATATAACAGACCTGAAGCTTACGTCAAAGCACTATTTCTCAGGTTTCTCACCTAGATATATCAGACCTGGAGATTACGTAAAGCACTATTTTTCAGGTTTCTCACCTAGATATAACAGACCTGGAGCTTACGTAAAGCACTATTTTTCAGGTTTCTCACCTAGATATGCCTCTTGCATCTAGGTAAAAACTGTGAAAACAAAATACTTCACAATCAAACGTAAGCTCAAATTAAGATTGAGTTGTTGATTTTCGAAGCTTGTTATATCTAAAAATGAAATTTAAAATACTTCGTAATCTATGGTCATACATAAGCTCCAGGTCTGATATATCTAGGTGAGAAACCTTAGAAATAGTGTTTTACGTAAGCTCCAGGTCTGATATATCTAGATGAAAACCTAAGAAATAGTGCTTTACGTAAGCTCCAGGTCTGATCTCACCTGCTAAAAGCATCTTCTTCCAATTTGGACAGTGGTCGTGCTAAGGTCAACATTTTCCAGTCAATATCAACTTGACTAAGGTCTCTGATCCTGATATTTCGCATGGCTACTGGAATAGGGTCAATAAATTGTTCTGAATGCCTAGAAGTGACCTTATCAAGATTGAGAATGTCTGACTCAGAAACATACTCCTGCCGAAGTCGAAGTTCTGGTAGTTTCCAAAGTGCAGAATTTAAATCTTCTCTTGTACGGATCTTTAATTTACTAAAATCTAGGAAGTTCAAAGTCACCTCTTGGGAGTCATCATCTTCATCGAATCGAAAGGAAGCCATTGGTCGAGGAAGTTGATACACGAGGCGAATAAGTTAGTAATACAGTTTATACCCTAAATCACCCATATATGTAGGTTTCATACCTGAAAACATTATAAGTTATCAGACTTTAGCTAAATTGAAGGTGGATTCTTAACCATGCTAAAACTGTAGTTATATCAAGGTCCCTAACCTATTAAAACTGAAATTTAATCAAGGTCACTCACCTCCTAAAACTGAAACTACATCAAGGTCACTCACCTGCTAAAACGGAAATTATATCAAGGTCACTCACCCGCTAAAATGGAAATTATATCAAGGTCCCTCAGTTACTAAAGCTGAAACTTAATCAAGGTCATGAGATATCTTGATATCACTTCAGTTTTAGCGGGTTAGTGACCTTGATATAACTGCAGTTTTAGCATGTGAGTGATCTTGATATGATTTCAGTATTAGTAGATGAATGACCTGGATTTTAGTTTTAGCTACGACACACGTTTTTACAAGGGATTTTCATATTGATAAGATTAGTTGACCGTGGTGTGATTTTCATTCGAAGTTTGTATTGCTACGTAAATGTACTTATTTTACGTTACAGCACTTAACGAAACGTAATGTTATGTAACTGTTTCAAGCTTTTGGTGGTCAGATAGTTTCGTGCTTTATATTCAAGATTTCTGAAGCTGGAAAATAATGTTGTATTCATGCTCCACGTTTCCGAAGTTGGACAAACACAGTTGTGGTGGACAAAATGCAACAAACTAAACTTTCGTATAATGTATTCACACATCAGAAACACGGTTATTATTTATCTTTACGGAGTTTTAATTGAGAATCAAAGCAACTCAGTTTAAGATAGGTGTTTAAACTAGGCCTAGCATGGGAGGTATATACTACCGTATAGAGTAGTTTTATTGTAGCCGACATGTGAAGCTATTTCACGACTATCATTGAGGATGTAAAATATTACTTAAATATTTTATTCGTAATAAGTGGGCTCTATCGAGACTGTGGGCTTTTAACATATTTCTGAAAGTTTCCAAATTACGTCATTCAAACTTTCTGTAAAGTACTTTTCATTTCCTGCTTAGAGAGAGCATCAACTTCCTGTAAAGTACTGAGGCTTTAGAGAGAGCACTTCCTTTAAAGTACTGATACTTTTGAGGAAGTACTTCCTATAAGGTATTGATTATTCTAGGTTAGTGGGAGTGGAATAACGTAGTTACATACTTGATTTCCAAGTCGTTAGACGTAAATAAGTATAATTCATATTCAAGGTTTGTTGAGAAAGATGAACATTTTAGTTCCTAATACTCATATCTCGAGAGATATAACGAGATTTATTTCAGTTCTGAATTGTTCAGGTGAATAAAAGTACAAACGTAACTCTGTTCAATGACAACAGGGGTAAAGAAACATAGCGAATTTTTGTGCTGTAAGTTAGTGAAGTTGGATGAGCTTTGTGACATATTTCTATTCCACATCTATAAATGTAAGGAAACATGGTGGTTGGTTCCATTTTTGGTTCATGGACTTTAACGAACTTATTTAAGTTTCAGGTTTTTAGATGTGAAAAACACAATGAATACTATTTTTATAGATTAGTTAAATTACAATTAGATGAACCTAATGTCATATTTATTCTCAAGATCGGTAGAATTTTTTCCATCCTTGGTTAGTACGTTTTGATAAAAATAATGACTTTTTTTCTGTTCCATGTTATTGAGATAAACAAACTTTGTTACTACTTATGTTAAGCATGCTAATATACCAATACTTCTGTTTCAGATCTAAGTTTGTCAGTGGTATTCGAGGTTTCTGTTGGTATATCAAGTTAATGTAGCATTATGTTTGCAATGTACTTAAATGATATGCTGTTTCAGGTTTATAGAGCTGGATAAGCTTAATGTAAAAACAATGGTTGCAGACAATACTTCCGCAAGTAGAAGAAACTTTCATCCAGTGAAAACCAAATCTGGTTTAAACATAAAATCATATTCTCATTTGAACAGAAATAAACTCTGTTTCGAGGATTTAGAAGAAGAAAAAGAGCATACAATGAACCAAGAATTTACTTACAGTTTTTACGAAAGGGAGTGTAAGGAGGAAGAAAATCAAGAATTGCCTGAACTCTTGGCTCTAACTGAAAATCTCTTGAAGCCTTCGAAACAAAAAGGAACAATTGATCGTGCTCGAGTATCTACCGAAAACCAAGAACGTTATACTTCAAGACGGAAAACTGAGAAAAACTCAAATAAGAAACTTTCACCATCTAAATCCAGAACAGTAAAGAAATCCGACATATTGGGCAAAAATGGATTGACAAAGGCTGTGTCGGATCAATCGCGAAGTGTAACATTTACTTCGCCTGGAACTAACAAACTGAAACAAGGGTGTATGTTAAAAAAAAGGGAAAAAATTAAGCAGAAGAGAAAAAAGCACAACAATTAAATATGAATATAATTACTTTACATCTCATTAAACCCTACATAGGTGTATTATATAGTTATTTCAGTTTCTATAATAATATATGTTTTCATTTGTTGTGTGCTTCAAACATGAAACAGGTAAAACTATATGATAATATGTTCTCACGTCTTTAAAACGAGGTTTAACAATGAATATTATCCTACCATTATCACGTATCTTTTGCTGCGGTTGGACGAGAAAATATCACATGGTATGAAACATTTGCAATGGTGCTTTGAAAGCTGGGCAACATATTGCATTAATTTGTCCAGTTGTCAAGGTCGTCGCCATACGTGCCTGATATAGTTGCAGAGATTTGCAGACGACAATCTTTTTGCAACACAGTGGAAATATTTAGGCTTACTTTACATACAATATCGGAAATCTCACCAGCATTCTAGGCAAAATTTATGTTTACATTAAACAGGTGCATACTATTATGAGCTATATTTTAACGTTGTAATTTAGATGTTAGCTAGAGGGAGCTTCAGGTATTAAAGATGATATTAAGAACAAAAGATTTAATAAAATAGGCTTCAGAAAGTTCTAAGGATATAACGTCAATTTTTTTTCTAGCGTAATCGAAACTATATTAAATATTAGATATTTGTGAAATGTGTAAAGTTTAGTTTTAAGATAGAGACTCGAATCAATCAGTATGTTTTCGTGAAGTATTTGGATCTGTGTTTGCTATCGCTCATATTGAATTACTTCATGCAAGTAAGTTCATTTATTTTATGTTAATTAATGTCATTTGTAACGTAAGCGAACAACAACTTACATCAGTGTTCTAGTCTGTAGAAACGTCAAACAAGGAAATAAATTAATATGTTGTTGCGTCATCGAGGACACGTGACT